AGCAGCCTGAACAGACTTAAACATAGCAACCATTGAAAATGCAGTTGAAAACTCAGTTTCACAAAGGTAGAATGATGTAGCATCAACTTACATTGAACAGGTAATTTTAAAATATTTTTATGTGTATGCATGTATTACCTGCATGTAGGTAAGTGCACCCGTGTCGTGCAATGCCCACGGAGGTCAGATGAGGCTGTCAGATCCTCTGGAACTGGAGTTACGGACAGTTGTTAGCTGCCATGTGGGTGCTGGGATTTGAACCTGGGTCCTCTGCAAGAACAGCCAGTGCTCTTAGCTGATGAGCCATCTCTCCAGCCCAAATACAGAGATTTTTCAACAAATAACACCAGAATCAGCCACTTGCCTTCTGCCGACTGAGAAAAATCAAGCTCTTTTGTTTTTGGATCTTTTGCAGGCTACCTCAAATCTGCCTTTTGAAAGAGGGAAGGAAGAAGGCAAAAGAAGGGACAGAGAGGAGAAAGGAGGGGAAATGGGGGGGAGGGAGGGAAGAAGGGGGGAGAGGAAGATGGAAGGGAAGAAGAAAGAGTGGAAGAAAGACAGAACAAGGGGGAAAGAGAAACAGAAAGTGAGAAGCTGGGGACAGCAAAGAGTTCTACTACATTGTAGCTACCTGGCCACCTCCTACCTTCCCACATTCCTGCCCTCCCACCCTCCTGCTCTCCCAAAGGCTGGGAATGGAGGAGAGAGGGGAGGAACAAAACGACTTGGGTTCTTAGCTTAAGACTCCTCTCAAAGAACATGGTGTTCTCTGACAGCCAGGATTACGGAGACAATGGCTAATGGGATTTGCCTTTTGCCAAGTGTGTCTAAATGGTTCTCTTAGAAAGCCATCTTTAAACAGCTTACAGGGCCACAAATACCCCAGTCTGTAGAAAGCTCTGGGAGCAGAGAGGCCGGGTGACTCTGGGGAAGCCAGCTTTGCCAGGGAGATGAAAGAGGCAGAGGGAAGCCAAATGCCAGGTCCTTGGTGACCAGGGTGGCCTTGTAATGCCTAGTTTCACATAGCCTGGGCTCAGTCCAGGTACCTAAAGGGAATGAGGGACCAGACCTACCAGCTGCAGGACTTTCGGTCCATCTAGCCCAGGGCAAACTCGTCCTTAAGGCCTGCAGCAAGTGCAGCCACCCTATGCCAGGAGGGACTCAGGGGGCACTCAGAGGGCACCCTCAAGGGTCCTACTCCCTGGGACACATCAACTAACTGTCAGCATTTGGTAAGGCCATTCTGGAGGAGGAAACTCAGATCTGGGGCACTCCAGGTCCAGCTCCAAAGAGGCTCAGAGAACAGGTTCCTTTTACATTATACATTTTTCATTCAAGATTGCTAGGACAACAGGGAAGCCCTGGTTAACTGTCAGATCAAGTATCACAAGGTACAAAGATAAGCCAGGTAGAGGTGCCTCAGTCTGGGTGAGGCCTGAGGAATGCCCCTAGTACTGTTCTGTAAAGCTACTTCATCAGCCAGGCATGGCAGCACATGCCGGGAATCCTAGCACTCAGGAGGCAAAAGCAAACAGGAATGTCACAAGTTCAAGGCTGGCCTGGTCTACATAGTGTGCTCCAGGGCTACATAGCAAGACCTTGTCTCAAAAAAACAAAAAACAACACATAAATAAATAAATACTCAAAAAGCCACTTCATTCAACCACAGTGGTAATAAGGAGAGGCAAAAGTGGAATGAGAGCCCATGCAGACACAGGGCCACGGCAGGGAGCAGGTGCTGCCTCCCAGTCAGCCTGGTAAAACCTGCTGGGAACCAGACACTCACAGACCTAGAAACCAAATGTGACTGTGGGCATGCACATAAACACATCAAATGACTAGAAGTTATAACAATAGCTACAACAGCTCAGAAATAGTCAGCATTTGATCTAAATTGTCAAGTTACATGGTGTTATGAAGACTATGAAAGAGGGTCTCAATTCACAGACCCTCAATTCCAAAGTGAAGACTATAAAAGAACACACTGACCCTCAATTCTAAAGGTACTTTGAGCCCCACCAGCAGTTTACAAACAGGCCCCCTCCAACCTTCATCACATGTCCAAACTCCAGTTGAATCATGAAGCTCTTAAACTCTACTTATAAGATGGCTCCTGTGCCAATCATCCACAGTATCCTTAGAAGCATCTTACAGCACAATGGGATAGACGCCGCCACCCAGTTGACCTAGCTATGCATTATATTAGGCATACTTTGGGAATTTATGCTTACATACGATCCCATAGCCTTCGCAGTGCTCACCAGCCACACTTGCATTACATCTTAGCAGCTCCCAGAGGAGACAACTCTCTACCTCTGAGAGGAAACAATTCTGATCTACTGATGATGATGTGGTGTGTGGGAACACAGTATCCTCAAGTGAAGAGGTGTCCTGTTAGAGTGGAGTGTTTGAGGGAGGCTCAGTAGTGGCTCTACTCCCTGGGACAAGTGGGCATCAATCAGACCCTCTATAAAAATGGCACTTACTTGATCAACAATTTTTGGCTTCCAAGATATCAGAGTACTCTGTCCTTTATCTGTTTCCCACTATAAATCCTTCCTGGTCTGATCAAGAGAAGAGCTGGACCCCTCTCCTAGTTATTCCCTTCAAGCTCAGAGCAGAGAACACTGAGGAACTAGCTCCATCAAGGCAATCTAGACAGTGAGACTGCTCAGTGAGTAAAAAGGTGTTTGTCACCAAGCCTGACAATCTGCATTTGATCCCTGGAATCTATACGATAAAAGGAGAGAACTGACTCTTACAAGTTGTCCTCTGTCTTCCACATGGGTGCAATAGCATATGTACCCTTCAAAAACCTGTCAAGGGGCTGGAGAGATGGCTCAGCAGTTAAAAGCACTAACTGCTCTTACAGAGGACCCAGGTTCGATTCCCAGCACCCACATGGCAGCTACAAACTGTCCTCAACTCCAGTTCCAGGGGAATCTGACGCCCTTTTCTGACCTCCGTGGCATTGCATGACAGGAGTGCACTCACATACATGCAGGCAGTACACTCATTCACATAAAACAACAACAACAAAAAGCGTCAAAAAGAAAAAGTGGAATCCTTGAATTTAAATTTACTGGGATGCCTACCTTGAATTCCATAGAGCCGGTTGAGGCGTGATCGCCGAGCCTCATCAGCATAGGGAACAGCAAGCCAGGGCATCTCACTGAAATACTGCTTGAAAGACTCCTCTGACCTGCAGAAAGATGTGGAGAATAAGGTTGTTACCATGTGTGTACCTCCACTTGGTCCTCCCCACTATTACCAAGATGTGCCCAGGCTTTTGCAGGGCTGCAGTTTCTAATCTTGACCTCCTCAAACACAGGTACAGTGTTCACCAAGAAGCAGATTCCACCTAGCAGGTGGATCCCAAACCTACTCACCTGCATCTTACCAGTCACACTCGTTGTTAGCACAAACACAGCTGATTTTTGTAAAGGTTTGTTTTTATTTTATTTGTGCACCCAGGGAAGAACATTCACCCTCCTTACTCCTGTGATTCCTTTTCCAAGTCCATTCAAATAGCCCCAGACTGAGCGTGTGACCAGAGGGAAGAAAACGAATACATATACATCCAAGACAGAGCCAAGCTGTGTCAGTCTCTAGCTCACTTCCATCCTCCCGAACTTATTTTTTCTTCACAATCTAGAAAGTTGACCAACCCCAAAAGTATCTTAATTTCAACAGACCCAGACCTGGACTAGGATGTGCCTCAGTACTTGCAGCAAGAACGTTTTTCTCTGTCAAAATCCCAACCCCTACTCCATGGTTTACAATAAGGAAGAAATATGCGGGGGAGCGGGGAGAAATGGGTGTAAGTCACATAGGAAAAAGGGGTGTGGCGCTGCCACTTTAAGGATGCACCAGTACCTGTCTGCACTAACAAAGATGATCTCAAACTTCTGGCCTGCTTCCTTGATCTTCCGGTAAGATTCGACCAGCACTCGTGTAAGGCTTCGGCAGGGAGGACACTGAAAGACAAGAGCCCCCGCTGTATGACGTGCCTTCTCTACTTCCAGCCACTGGCCATTAGGGGCCAGGTTAGAAGACCCAGGTAGGACCGGAAGAGCAAAGCCCAGTTTATACGTGAGACAGAAGCAAGCTTGTGTCTCTTCATGGCAAGCACCTGGCTTAGCCTGGCCCAGGCAATGGGTAGCAGACAGCAGTGAGATAGCTCCCTTAGGGAGCCTTAGAAATCTCCTCCAGATGGGTTGGAGAAGCCATTTTCTTAGGGCTGTTATCATAACATTAGCATTTATTGCATGACAAGAGTGCACAAGAAAACATAGCCAGTGAACTTCTGCCCGAGCCATCACACCCCCACACATCTAGACACAGCGGTGACACTGTTGCTTCCTTCCATCTAGACTAAGGAGGGACCTAATACTCACCCAGTGTGCAGAGAAATAGACTCCCACATGAGAGCCTTCTAGACTGCTGCTCTCCATCGACTGCCCGTTATTTTGAAGCAAGGGCCCCTCAATGACTTCCCGGAAGGGCTTGGGTCCCCAAGGGAATTCCAGACCTGAAACAAGCAACAGACAGTGAGAACATCAAGGCTCTTTGCAATGGCCTGGGACCCAAGAGTCCTCAGAACTAGGCACAACTTTGTCACCAAATAGTGTTTGTCAACACAGCCACAGGATCTGTAGCTAATGTAGAAACAAAAGAACTTGGGCCAGCGAGATGACTGAATAAGATCTGCTACCAGGCCTGATAGGCTGAGTTCAATTCCCCGGGACTGGAAGAAGAGAATTGCCTTCCGAGGGTTATCCTCTGACCTCCACATGTAGGCACCTTGAGCAAGTGAGTGTGCGCGCGCACACACACACACACACACACTTTTTTTTTTAATGTAATAAAAACAAATAATTCTCTTCCAACTCCTAATGTTCTGTAGAACAAGGACAACTTTGTTCACTGCTATATTTCAAGTATAGGCATAACTTGGAGAGATCCAGGTCAAGATACTGACCACAGTAAAACAAATGCCACAATTAAGCAAGTTTGAGATTTTCATTTCTCAATGCATATAAAGACTATGTTTACCAAAAAATCCCAAAACTGAAAAAGCCCATAATTATATTTACATTATACTACAAAAAGAATTTAGTAGTATTATGTCTAAAAAGTTAAATTTAAAATACTGCAAAAAGCATAACAAAATCATCTGAACTATTAGAAAATAAAAGGCCCTAATAAAATTTTCTTTATATAGTTACCATAAACTTTTAATATGCAAAAATATAAGATATATATGCAATGCCTTTCACATATTGGATTCTCAACATATGTTCCTAAATAAAGTAGTGAATTCTGACAGATTGACTTGAAAATAGAATAAACACTGAGTACATAAATCCATCATCCCTGTACTGCACAGGTGTGCCATGCCATGCCATGGGTATGTGCATTCATGGCCATGAGCATCTCATTAAATTACAGTCACCTTGAGATAGAAATAGATACAAGCTTATTAATGTATTTCATTATTATATGTTCAAGTTTTTTCCATTCATGAAAATGGCCTACAATTAAATATCTACATCAGAATAAGATGAAAATGACCAAAATAATAAGCTCTGAATTTTTGTACATCTGTTCTAAGTAGTCCTGTGTAATCAAAATTGATAGACAATTATGGTATAAAGAAATATTTCAAAACTGGGAGCTAATCTATGGCTTTATACATCGTTCCACATAAAGGCTTTTTCTCGAATGTGTTCAGGAAATACAACCGCAGCTAAATAGAATGCTTAAATTTAGATCGCAAATCAGTAAGAATGAAGGTTCAACTTTCCATGTTGAAAATCAGCCCACTGATGTGTTCTTAGGAAACTGTGATTATTATTGACTCAGTTTATCATGATACCTTGTTTGTGCGCGTGTGTGTGTACATGTGTGTGTGTTTATTGTAATATTTTATAAATAAAGTCCTTGAAGTCTGAAAAAAAAAACAAAATAAAAACAAAGAATTCATCCATAGCAGATACAGATTACCCTGTAGGCTGTGGTTCCCAAGCCTCGAAGCTCAAAAGGCCCATCTCCTGAGGACCATCTCAGGATGTAGAAGCAAGGATGAAGGTGGACATACAAAACAGGACTGGTCAGGACAGAAGAGGAGACCAGACCAGGCTCTGATGAGGCCAGTTCTAGGAGTACCTGCTTCAGATATAACCCATAAGGCTATTCAAGCCCTTCCTGCCAGCTCCATGGCCTTCAACTCTGAATGTAGATTAGAATCCACTGAGAAATTTTTAAGTCTTATCTGGGTTATACACCCAGAGATTCTAAAGCAACAGTACCAGGCTAGGGCCTAGAGAACCAGTGAGAAGTGAAGTAGGAAACACTAAAAATCTACAGAACCCAGATGGTCTGCATTCTGATGACACTTAAACTCGCAGCAGGAAGAATAACTAACATGTTCCCAGCTGAATACAACAGTATTTTCTCACAGGGTGGTCTGTGGCCCACTGCCTCAAAATTATCTGAGGGGCCAGAAATGGGAGAGAGAAACAGGCTAGTTAAAAATGCAGGTGGGCCAAGCCCGTCCCCAAATCAGAAGATACAAAACTCTCTGAAGAGATGTGGCCAGGCCAGCTATATTGTTAACAACCTTGGGAGTGTGTGTGTGTGTGTGTGTGTGTGTGTGTGTGTACACTATGCCTGTTCTTTATAGAGGGAAATTCTTCTACATGGGGATTGTTTTTCATTTTTGAGAGTGTCTCATTATGTACCTCAGGCTGGCTTTGAACTCAGAATCTTCCTCTTAGCCTTCTGAATATTGAGAATGCAGATATGCACTACCATACCCAGCTCTGGGGAAATTTTTGGTTAAAAAAACTTATGATGAGGGATGAATCCTCTTATTGGATCAATAAGTAAGGGAGAGGAGATCTTGCAACTCCAGTTACACCAGTGCAAGTGGAAAAGAGCAGACTGGCCAGTCACTGAGCAGGTGATCCAGGCAGCTTTCCCAGTATATATCCAGCAGCCAGCAGCTCACCAGAACCAAGGCCAGAGGGAACTGGGACTTGGCACCAGGCAACTCATTACTGAAGTCAGGAGAACACTGGAGATGAGACTTTGCTGGATGACACAGGTGACCTCCCTAATCTCCAAATCTAAACAACAAACTTTAAAATAAATTTATTTATTTAGTTAGTTCGTTTGTTAGTTAGTTTGTTCATTAGTTACTTATGTGTGTATTTTGCCTGCATGTATGTAAGAGCAACCATGTTGCACAATGCCAGTGGATGCAAGAACACATTGTATCCCACGGAATTAGAGCTATGGACGGTTGTCAGACACCAAGTGGGTGCTGAGAACTGAACCCAGGTCCTCTGCAAGAGCAGCCAGTACTCTTAACCACTCACCAGCCCACAAATCTAAACTTTTTTGATAGTTATAAAGTTTTAGATTTCAGTCTAGACAGTGGTACATATCTATAATCCCCAGGATTTAAGAAGCTGAGATAGAAGATTATAAATTCAGAGTTGCCCAGGCTACATAGCAAGTTGCATGCCAGCCTGGGCAACACAGTGAGATCTTGATTCATTAAAGTAAATGTTTCAAATTTCAGATTTTGGAGTGAAGGCAGTTCAAATGGTAATATCCATGTAAATATTTCCAGATCTAAAAAAACTCCAAAATCTAGTCTTTCTGCTCCTAGTCTGACAGTAGATTGGGTCTAGGGATTCCTGCATCAGGTAATACTCAGGAGATGAATAAATCTCATCTTGCCAGCTTCATAGTTCTCAACTTCAAATGTACATTAGAATCCAGTGGGGAGGGCTGGAGTAATGGCTCAGTGGGTAAAGATGCTTGCTGTACACTCAGGAACATTTCAGATAATGGACACTCTGTATTTTTAAAAGATTTCCACTTATTTATTTGTTGTGTGTCATGCATACACACATATGCATGTACCACTGTGTATGCTAGGGCACATGTGTGGAGGTCAGAGAACAACTTGTGGGAGTTGGTTCTCACCTTCCACCATACAGGTTCTGGGGATCGATTCAGGTCATCAGGTTAGGTAACAAGTACCTTCACCCACTGAGCCATCCTGCCAGCCCTCTATATTCTATATTTAAATTTTAGTATTTTTTTTTCATTTTATGTGCATGAGTGTTTTTCATGCATGTAGTAAGTGTACTCATGCGTACATTGCCTGTGGAGGTCATAAGAGGGTGTTAGATCCCCTGGAACTGGAGTTACAGACAGTTGTTATCTGCCATATAGGTGCTAGGAACCAGGTCTTCTGAAAGAGCCATCAGTGCTCTTAACTGCTGAGCCATCTCTCCAGCCCCTCTATTCTACATAGCAGGCCTCTTATTGCCAAGGTGATAGTTGTCACTGAAACAGCACTACAGGTAACTATTTGGGTTCTTGCTACTTTTCAACAGCCTCCTCAGTTCTCAAAGCTGAACTTCCCTTTTCCAGATCCCATCTGCTTTGGCCCATGAATTAAAAGCCCCCTGGAGGGACATTCTAATCCCTTTAAAAATATTAACCACCCTGGAGAATACAGTAATTTCATCAAGGCAACATTCTCTAGCAACAAATACCTGCTTACAGATATTCATTAGCACTTGCTCTACCCGAGGTACAGGTTAGGGTACGGGAGGTGATTGAGTCAAGGAGGCCAGGCCTTACCTTCTGGGTCATCTCGAATCACCAGGAGCCCATTCCTGCACACAACCTTTCCCGTGGTGGCGTCTAGAAATATTAGTGATGGAATGTTGGAAATTCGGTATTTGTTCCAAAGTTTAAGCTATAAAAAGAAAAGCAGAAGGTGGTTAAATCTAAATCAAATTAACTGCAGAGTTCTTTTGAGTCCCTGAGCTCCAAGAGATGAGTGAGAAAGTACTATAGTATAAAAGTACTACCTGAGTAACTGGCTCAAAGCGGGGCTACTGCGCAACAAGGTTAATTACAACCCCACATGCCCCTGTGGTCTTATAGGGTACAGGGGACCCTGAGTCCCAGACAAGTTCAAGGCATGACCGAAGTGGCTGATGGAGGGACCACATTTAGTCTTTCCTATCTGTCCCTAGGGACCATAAGGAAGTCAGGCGTGGTGGCACACAACTTTAATCCCAGCACTCAGGAAGCAGAGGCAGATTAGATCTGTGAGATTGAGGCCAGCCTGGTCTACATAGCCAGTTCCAGGCCAGCTGGGGCTATGGGGAGACTCTCAAAGATTAAAACACACACGCACGCACGCATGCGTGCAGACACACAAAAAATTGATATCTTTGGAATGTAATATCACCTCAACCAGGTGGCTAAGGAAGGAGGGGAGCTTTGCCTCTGCTCAGGGCAGGTAGTCACCAAGCACTCCCACTCCCCTTGCCCTAGGGAAGAGAGCACAGGTTTTTCAACAAGAGCAAATAGTTAAAAAGTACTCCTCTCCCCACTCGACCAGGCCTGTGATTGGAATAGCAAAGCTGCTCTCTCTCTCTCTCTCTCTCTCTCTCTCTCTCTCTCTCTCTCTCTGTATGTGTGTGTGTGTGTGTGTGTGTGTGTGTGTGTGTGTGTGGCTTGCTGAACATGAGGCAGTGACATCCCGAGCCTGTTCTAACCCTCGGCCCTCAGTGCCCCTCCAAACAGCCTCCAGGCTGTTGGCACAGTATTAAGGTTGGAAACTGTCAGGCTCAGGGCAGGGTCTAAGAAGAAGGAAGCTGAGAGCTAGGTATGCAGAGACCCCATTCTTTGCTCGCTGCCAGGGCATGAACACCCTTTTGGTGGACCACAGGGTGCTCTGAAATACAACTGCTAAGACCCAAGACCAGAAATGTTGGGCACCAAACAGAAAGAAGCAAAGGATGGCTGCCCAAGGGTGATGAACCAGAGGCTGGCCCCTGGCAGAACATTGCATGAACACGCTCAAAGGCAACAGGCCTCAGAAGGCGGCTGCACAGAGGGGAAGGAGTGTGTCGCTGGGGCTCTACTAGTATTTAATTCAGTTCTAAGCAGAAGTTCTGCCAAGAAACTTGAGACTTCCCAGCCTATGGAGACACATGACTTGGGACCCTGCTTCAAACTAAGTGGCAGTGCCTGGTTGCTCATCAGCCCCACATTTCCGGTGGGCTCACAAGACAGCCTCTTAACAAAAATGGTTGTGGGCTGTTTACAGGACCAGTATTGCACTATTCAGAAGAAACATGATTCTGGGCTCAGATCAAACCTTCTTTTGCTGTTTTGAGAGACGGTCTCACCATGTAGCTGAGGTTCACCTGGAACTCACTATGAAACTCAGGCTAGCTTTAAACTCGGGATCCTCCTGCACCAGGTCCAACTTCAGATGGAATTTTTTTTTTATATTTATTTTTATGTGTATGAGTGTTTCGACTACATGTATGTATGTGTATCATGTGCATGCCTAGTGCCCACAGAGGTCAGAAGAGGGCACAGGATCCACTAGAACTAAAATTACAGATGATTATGACCTGCCACGTGCTGGGAACCAGACCTGGGTTCTTTGCAAGAGCAGCCAGGGCTCTTAATGCTGAACTAGTTCCCCAGTCCCCAGACAAAACGTTCTTAAGAGAAAAGGTTTCACAATGAACAAGACCCTTTTGACATTGCAATTAGCAGCCTAAATTTGCTGTGCAAGAGCCAGGTTACTTTACATGGGTGTGGGGGCATTGGAGAGATGGGTCAGCAGTTAAGAGGTTAAGTGAACTTGCTCTGCCGCACACCTTTAATCCCAGAATTAGGAGGCGGAGGCAGGCGGATCTCTGGGAGTTCAAAGTTAGCCTTGTCTACTTAGTGAGTTCCAGGTGAGCTGGGGCTACAGGAAGACCCTGTCTCAAAAACGGAAGTGGGGGGGGAGGGAGGAAGGAAGGAAGGAAGGAAGGAAGGAAGGAAGGAAGGCAGGAACTTGCTCTACAATCATGAGGGCTGGAGTTCAGATCCCAGTACCCACACAACAAGCCACATGTCCCTGCAAACACCTGTAACTCCAGCTTCAAAGGGCATAAAGACAGGATTACTGGGGCTTGCTGGCTTTTTCAGTCTAGCTGAGACTCAAGCTCAAGTTCAGGTTTAAGGAGAGACCCTGCCTCAAAGGAATAGGAGGAGTGATGGAGATCACCTGACACCTTCTCACTCACTCACTCCCCCCACGTGTGTGTGTGTGTGTGTGTGTGTGAGAGAGAGAGAGAGAGAGAGAGAGAGAGAGAGATTTTTGGAAAACGAAGATTAAGATGTTTGAGTCTCAATTTTTTAATTAGTAATTTTAAAGAGTAACTCTTGAGGTGAAAAAAGTAATCACTGGAGAAAATTGGGAAGCATAACAAACCACAAAAATTAAAATAAGAAAAGTAACCCATGATCCACCACTTAGGAACGTTTAGACTGTGTTCCACACCCAGCAACAGCTCCCTCACCAATGTTATCACCAACATTGGTTTTTCCAACTTGACAGGGAAAATGCACCTCTTTTGCTACTTATATTTTACCTGACGTTTAGCAGGCACAGAATTACTAATATGCAAGGTTTTCTTCCTCTGTATGTTTTATAACTGGCAGTTGATGAAATTCACTATGCAGATAAAAACTGAGTACCTACCATGTGCTAGGCCTCTTCTAAACACAAGAGGCGCAAGAAAGAGCAAAGCAAATGGAGTTGCTGCCCAGTAGAGCTTGTTGTCATGGGTGAGAAAGATGATAAACAAGAACAAAAATGGAGCAGGGTGTAGTGGCACACCTTTAATCCCAGCACTCTGGAGGCAGAAGCAGGCAGATCTGTGAGTTGGAGGCTAGCCTGGTCTACATAGCAAGGTCCAGGCCAGGGAAAAATTATTTCAGATACTTGTAAGGCATAGAAAGAAAACCTAGCAGGGAAAAGGCAAAGGTGTGGTCAAAGGGATGGCCCACATTTTAGTGAGAGGCTCTGGAGGGCATCCGAAGAGATGATGCAGGGGAAGTGATGGCATGGCACAGACTTCAATCATGCAATTAAGCAAGTCACAGGCACCTGTGACCCAGGGGACCTGCAGAAGGGCAGGAGACTGACTTATTTGTCAGTGAGCTCTGTCTGTGGCTGGGAACTAACTTTCTCAGGTTATTGATCAAAAACAGTGTAGAAGGTCCATTTTGACTTCAATTTTAAGATTTATTTTCTTTTAAACTTTATTTATATGCATGGACATATGTCTGTGTGTATATGTCACGTGTGTGTGTGTGCCCATGAAGGCCAGAGAGAAGGCATCAGATTCTCTGGAGCTATAGGCAGTTGTGAGCAACCCAATGTGGGTGCTAGGAACCAAACTCAGGTTCTCTGGAAGAGCAGGAAGTGCTCTTTAACTGCTGAGCCAGCTCTCTAGCACCCCATCTTGATTTTGATACCTTAGTTAGAAAGTTGGTCCTTAGGTTCAAGAAGTCATCTCAGCCTGCCTCGAGGTTTCTATGAAACTCACCAGATATGAGAAAAGCTTGTCATTAAAGAATTAGCCACTCTGCCTCAAAGTCCACTAAAGGTCTCCCAAAGGCCTCCGAAAACAGGTTTCTTAACCATTTGGGGTGTCATATATACACGTATGAAACTGCCAGAGCAAAATGTACATACACACAAAGTCTGTGTATAATATCACAGAACTCATGAATCCCAAGACCCGCTAGTGGGACCTGCCAGACTGCAGGACATCTGTGAGCTCCAGATAAAGACTCCTTTGTCTTGAGTTGGTTTCACTGAGGATCTTGACTTTGACTTAACAGGAGGGCTATAATATTGCTCTATCTTTATCCCTGCCACTCAAATCTCCAATAGAATCTGCCAAAATGTAAGACAGCAGCAGAGTGAAGAGTGGGAGGTAAACGCCAATGTCCAGAGCCCTGCCTCCTTTTCAGGCTGATAAGCACCCACAGGGTCCACAGCATCCTTTGTCTTACAAGCGGTAAAATTCAAATAACTAGGATTGAGAACTAATTACACTTTTTAAAAAGCATCCCCCAAAATGTGAGCTCACACTCTTCCTCGGTATTATAGTTGAGCTTTTGTGTGTTTGCTTATTTGTTTGTATGGAGACTTGAACCGAAGGCCTCCTGCATACCAGACCAGCACTCTACCACTGAGCTATCCCCGGAACTCCTATGATGAATCATCAGCACTTCCACATCATCTTAAAGTTCCATCTGGGGAGGAAAATGTCAGTGTGTAAAAAAGCAGACCTCTGAGGGGTAGGCCCTGTACTTATTAGACATCAGTGGAGGACAACGGACTAGATTTGGATAGGTCGCACCTCACTTTTAGCACCAGCACACCCACACTGCCCAATGAGTATAAGCCCAGGGAAAGTGACCCAGGTGAAAACACTCTGAACTCGAAAAGCACGACACGTGGGAAGCTTCATTTATATTGGAATCCAATTTACACTTATTTCTCAGCGTCAGCATCCTCTTCAAAAACCATTTTCCCGTCAGCTTTGTTTTAGTTAATCAACTGCACAGTTAGGCTGTAAATGGAATGACTTACAGAATGGGGTTTGCTTTCTGAGTACGTGGTTATTTTGCCATAAGCACCTTATAGTCACCTGTTTGTTGCTTCCTCTTTCCTTTCACTCCTCCCTCCCTTCCTTCCATTCCTGCATTAGTTCACCCATCAATTGAATACATGACACCAGACTGTTCATGACCATCAGCTCTACCAGGCTGTGCAAATTTCAGTCACAGTCCAAATTACACTCTGGGACTCATGCTTTGGGGGCAAGGGAATCAAATATTTTTCAGCCCTCTCTCTCTCTCTCTCTCTCTCTCTCTCTCTCTCTC